AGAGAGGAAGGGAGAGGGACAGAGAGTTAGAAATATCGATGAGAGAGAAACATCGATCAGCTGCCTTCTGCACACCTCCTACTGGGGATGTGCCCACAACAAAGGTACATGCCCTTGACTGGAATCGAACCTGGGACCCCTCAGTCCACAGGCCGATGCTCCATCCACTGAGCCAAACCGGTCAGGGTGATATGCACATTTTTCAAGTAGTTTCAAAGTTCTAAAGATTACACACATAGACGTACTGAAACATAGGAGTACTGAGGTAGAATATATTTTTAATAGCATAAATATATCTTATAAGCAGAGAAAACAAAATAGCAGCACTCAAGTGGCTATTTAAAATAATATTCTAGATTCAATTTCCAAATTACCTTCTCAATTCTTGCTTCATAATCATATACACAATGCAGCTTAAGGTAGGAGACAAGGGAATAATCCTATCTAATAATAGACAAACATGGTAATTGACCATACCTTCGCTACACCTCCCATTGGCTAATCAGCATGATATGCAAATTAACCAAGATGGCAGCTGGCAGCCACGCAGCTGAAGCGAGCAGGAGGCTTGCTTGCTCCAGTGATGGAGGAAGCCAAAGTTCCCCGCCTGCTGCGGCCCGACTCTGAGCTCCAAAAGCAACAAAGTTTCAATTATAGAAGCTAAACAAACCCCAGATACCTGCTTTCAGCAGGCCGTGGTCACAGAGCCAGCTCTCAGCTCCAGTGACGGCAACAAAGTTTCAATTATAGAAGATAAATAAATCCCAGAATAAAAAAAGAAAAAGAAAAAAAGGACAGGCTGGAAGCTTCAGTCCCGGCCAGCCTGAAAACGGCCCTCAGCCCCTCACACAGACTGGCCAGGCACCCTAGTGGGGACCCCCACCCTAAAGGGGGTGTGGCCAGCCTGAAAACAGCCATCAGCCCCTCATCCAGGCTGGCCAGGCACCCCATGGGGACCCCCACCCTGAAGGGGGTGTGACCAGCTGCAAACAGCCATCAACCCCTCACCCAGGCTGGCCAGGCACCCCAGCGGGACCCACACTCTGATCCAGGACACCCTTCAGGGCAAACCAGCCAGCCCCGACCCGTGCACCAGGCCTCTATCCTATATAGTAAAAGGGTAATATGCAAACTGACCCTAACAGCAGAAAGACTGGGAATGACTGGTCACTATGACACACACTGACCACCAGGGGGTAGACGCTCAATGCAGGAGCTGCCCTCTGGTGGTTAGGGCACTCCCACATCGGAGAGCTCTGCTCAGCCACAAGCTAGGCTGATGGCTGCCAGTACAGCGGTGGTGGTGGGAGCCTCTCCTGCCTCCTCAGCAGCGCTAAGGATGTCCGACTGCAGCTTAGGTCTGCTCCCTGCTGGCAAGTGGACATCCCCCGAGGGCTTCCAGGCTGCCGGAGGGATGTCTGATTGCCAGCTTAGGGCCAATCCCCCGAGGGGTCCCAGACTACGAGAGGGCACAGGCCGGGCTGAGGAGACCCCCCCCCCCCTCCCGCCAAGTGCACAAATTTTTATGCACTAGGCCTCTAGTATATTTATAAATAAAACACCATGGATTTTTCTTTTTTTAACTTCCCTTATTTTAATTCACCAACAGTACATTACCATTCCACAATGGAGGAAAAATCTACATCTATATATCAGCTCTATTAGTGATTTTTCTGCGTGTGTGTACATGAAGTTTCTTTAAAAGCCTATAAAAAATAGCCTAACATTATTTAACACCATTTATATAGTTAAGCAAAGTCAACTACAAATGTAATGTTTTGAAGTTCCAATGATAAATGATACAAAACTAGCTAAGGCATTAAAACTCAATTTATATAATTTTTTATGAACAGAGAGATTGTTCATAAAACAATCTTATATAATCTTAAAGGTTATATAAGTAACTCACTTAAGACACTCTTTGTTCTATTGCTTAAATAATCACTGTTTTTCTAACACTACTATTTATAAGCATAACTTCAGGAGATAAACTGCTAGCATGCCCTCTCTGGTTTGGCTCAGTGGAAAGAGCGTCAGCCTGCGACCTGGGTTTGATTCTGGCCAAGGCATGTACCTCGGTTGCAGGTTCAATCCCTGGCCCTGATCGGGGTGTGTGCAAAGCAACCACTAAATGTGTCTCTCTCACATCCATGTTTCTCTCTCTCTCTCTCTCTCTCTCTCTCTCTCTCTCCCTCTCTTCCTTCCCCTCTCTCTAAAAATCAATGGAAAAATATCCTCAGGTGAGGATTAACAAAACAAAACTAACTTTACTTCTGGGTAATAAGACTGGGACCTATGAAAAAGAGGCAAAGCAGCAGTTCTCAACCTGTGGGTCTCGACCCTTTTGGGGGTCAAACGACCTTTTCACAGGGGTCACCTAAGACCATCGGAACACACATATATAATTACATATTGTTTTTGTGATTAATCACTATGCTTTAATTATGTTCAATTTGTAACAATGAAAATACATCCTGCATATCAGATATTTACATTACGATTCATAACAGTAGCAAAATTACAGTTATGAAGTAGCAACGGAAATAATTTTATGGTTGGGGGTCAACACAACATGAGGAACTGTATTAAAGGGTTGCGGCATTAGGAAGGTTGAGAACCACTGAGGTAAAGTTTTATTTCTTATTTTATCATTTCTTGGTACATTAAAAATTCCACACCATTTGAATGTTATTAAATCGTGGTGTGTTTTTTTTAATACAAAACACTGATCTAGAAACCAGAAAATATCAGGAGTCCTTGGTTTCAACTTTTGGATTTGGATTTCCAGAGACAAGCATTTAAGGATAATGTCTGAAATTAATGTAATTTAAGTAATGTGATTCTTCCAAGAAAGTAAGACACCACATGCTGTATAAACAAGATTTAAAAATAAATCAGAGTTTTCATTTATCTTCAATACCTGAGAATATATGAACTACTTTCTTCCTAGAAACAGACAATGATACTGACCTAGATTTACTCTACTCTCATGTCTCCTACAAACGTCAGCTCCTTGGAACTTCTGCATCACACCACCAACCACCCTGCCTCACTAATTTCAAGTAGAAACTGGGCTCTGCTGCTCCCTCTCCCCACACTCTTCACATTCTATCCAAATGAGAAAATTGTGAAATGTGGCAATTAAGCAAGACAATTCCCATTCTCATTTCCCTCTTTCTTAATGGTTGCTGTAACGCTTTCCCAGCTGTAGTGTGATCTCAATAAACTCTTTAAAATAAGTATTTGGGTAGGTTAGAAAAAAAGGAGCTAAACATGGCTAAGAGTAAAATTAAAAACAAAATTATTGGTCAGGGTATGGAAAGGGAGTCTTTGAAAAGGAAGGAACCAATGAAAGAGAAAGAGGGCTGCGGACTGAAAGGTCCCAGGCTCAATTCCAGTCAAGGGCATGTACCTTGGCTGTGGGCACATCCCCAGTAGGGAGTGTGCAGGAGGCAGCTGGTTGATGTTTCTCTCTCATCGATCTTTCTGACTCTCTATCCCTCTCCCTTCCTCTCTGTAAAAAAATCAATAAAATATATAAAAAAGAAAAAGAAAAGATTGAGTAATGGCATATTTGCAAAGTATTAAAGCAGACTCCATCTTTAAAAAGCAGGACATCAGGCAAAGACTGAGAAAGCTTTGTGCCAGTATTAAACCCCATAATCTGGTGTGCTCTCCCTCTTTTGAGCACACCGAGAGTTTCCCTTCTCCCTTTACTTCCCCCCAGGTGCAATACCTTTGCCTTTCTCCTGAACTCCAAGGACCCTTCTTCTGCCTCTTTAATTTGTTTCCTGAGCCTGCACAAGCCCGGCTGGCTCTCTTCTACTAGCTCTGTAACTTTATTCTAAATAAACTTTCTCTTCTAATTTGAAAATACAAACAAACAAAACCCATAATCTTAGCCCTTTAAAAAGCTCTTCCTACCCCCCATTTTCTTATACTTTCACAAGAAATTAATCTTTTCCCTCAGCTCAGACTTTACTCCTAAAGATTTTTTCATCAACTTCTTTTAAATTACAACAAACTGTAAAAATGATATACATGGAACACATACTTCAGAGACTGTACATAAACTTATTCTAGTTAAATATAACATTACTGAGGGGAGAGGGAGAGCACAGGTGAGCTAATCCTCTTATCAATTCCATTTTAACTGATTAGTCATATGCTCTACTGAGCATTGTCAGGATTAATGTTTGTGTTCCAATATTAGAATAAAAGTTACCTCTCAAATACTTGAAATTATTTTTCAGTTATAAAGATCATGACAAGTTAATAGTAACCAATAAGAATAGAGTACTTAAAAGAAAAATAACTTGTCTTTTTTAGTGACTAGAATTGCTTTTACTGTGGTTAAATGTGAAAGGAATCCATCACACAGCTATCTGAAAAAGTATTCACAAAAGTTAAACATACTAGCCCTGGCCAGTGTGCCTCGGTTGGTTGGAGGGTCGACCTGTACACTGAAAAATCGAGGGTTCAGTTCCTGGTCAGGGCACATACTCAGGTTTCATGTTCAATTTCTGGTCAGGGTGCATATGGGAAGCAACTGATCGGTGTTGCACTCTCACACTGATGCTTCACTCTCTCCCCCTCTCTCCCCCTGCCTTTCTCTCCAAAATCAATTTTTTAAAAATCGTATTTAAAATTTGTACTTAGAATAGGAGTCATGGTTTAATACTACAGTTGGTAATTTACTTATATGGCTTAAAAATAAAAGTTAACTGAGCCTCATACTCTATTTAACCCTTTTCGGTCCAACCTCAAGGCTAACTCGACAGACCAGGCGCTAGGAGCAGGTCCAACGTCGAGCAATAAGAACATTAAAAAGTTCAACATTCATTCCCATCAATTAATTTGGACCAGACTGTTTGAATTCCAAAAATAACATTGGACCGCAAAGGGTTAAATACAATGAAATCACTAAAATGTAGAAGAAAACAAGCACAAATACAATGGAATAGCTTCCATGTTTTACTCAATTTAAGAAACATTTTTACCTGAGGGGACAGCTGCATTATTTTGGTGGTTTTCACTGGTAGAAACAAACAAATCATCTCCTTCAGTTGATGAGCTTGAAGAGGATTCACTGCTGAGGTCATTTTCACTGGAACTACTAGAACTGGGGAGCAATGCATACTTTCTTCGGGCTAACACTTCTCGTTTTTTCCTCTGCATCAATATCCTCTCTTTCTGTTTCTGTGTCCTCTGTGAGGAATTGTTTTTTACAAATCTCTTTCTGCATGGAAGTCTCCTTAATGAACTGCTATGAAAACAGGGTCTTTTCATTAACAATCCTGAAACAGACTCTGTCTCAGTGGGAGGCCACTTTTGGGACCTTGAACTATGAGTTCTACTTTTAGCATTCAAAATTGACTGGGAATGTCTTACAGAGAGTCCTTTATCCTCATCTGAAGTCACAGTATCAGAATCTCCAAAATGCAGACTAGATGAAGGAGAAGAAAGACAATCACTAAAAGAGGAATCATTGTCTTCATCACTTGGTGCTTCTAGGTGTTGCCTCAATCCTAATACTCCCTGGTTCTCTTTAACACAATTTTGCATGTATGAAGGGCCAGCCTGCTGGCTTTTGCGTTTTTTCCTCACAACACTTTTTTCTTGCTCTTGTTGATTACCATTCATGTCCTTCTCTTGTTTTTGAGAATCATCACATAAATGAGAGAATTCATTCCCCACTTTACTATTAATCATCTCAACTCCTGCAGGAAAACTTTTGGCTGCCCCAATGGGCTCTGGATGCAAGAGGATCCCTTTCAGACTCTCCTGTGTCTTTGGTGCATCAGAAGGAATCTCACTCTTCATATCCACTTCTAAGGTATAGAGCTTGCTATATTCAGGAGTCCATTGAGACATGGGAAACTATAAGGAAGGCCTAGAAGACAAAATTAGATATTAAAAAGATTGTTAGTGTGTTATATTATACTATTTAATTAAAGAGTACTCAGATTCCACTGAAAACATCCCTGTAACAGGGCAGGATTGCCTTTTCCTCATCAACATATAAAATAGTTGTAATACATCATTTTACTATTCTTATAAAACATTTTCCTCTGTTACCTCTACCCATATATCCAATTTTTAGGAATAAAGATCACAGAACATAAGCCTACTTGAAAACTTCTGTTAACTAAAAACTGCATCTCTTACTGTATCTCTTCCTACCTTTAGAAACATAACACAGTTGTTAAAATCAAACAATTTTTTCAAAACCTAATATAGTAAAAATGGATAAAAAAAATTAGAATTCAAAAGACTTTGACTACTCAGCAATGCTTTCCTCCTGGTATCACATTTTAAAGTGATAATGATATTAAATATTTCTGAACATCTAGGTGGTTGCTATCTTAGATGGATTACTATAAATAATGAACCAGTATGAATATAGATTTTCTTTCCCATGGGTCTTTCTTCCTTCATACTAGTCTATTATCTAACAACAGTCTGAATTTACCGATAGACAGTAGGTACAACTGCATTTGAGAAAGTTTTACTTACTAACAAGAAGACTCAAGCCAAGACAGTGAGTTGAAGATTATTCATTTAAAGCAGCAGAGCAGAACATAAAATCAAACTTCCTACAGTTAATCTAAGTGTATCTAAATAATTTAATCATTGAAATGATGAGCTTTTGAACAAAGTGACTTGAAATTAAAACATCTACATTAATGCAATGTATATACAAGAATGGTGATAATGTAAAAGCTGTAAATATCCTGACTCAAAATGGAAGAAATTCATTAGAAAGATAGTTCATGTGACAAATAGAAAGCTTTACTAGCCCATCCAGTGTGCCTCAGTGGCGTCAACCTATGAACCAAGAGGTCACAGTTCAATTCCCAGTCAGCACATATGCCCGGATAGCAGATAGTGGGCTCGATCCCCAGTGTGGGCCTTGTAGGATGCAGCCAATCAGTGATTTTATCTCATTGTTGATGTTTCTATCTCTCTTCCCCTCTCCTTTCCTCTCTGAAATCAATAAAATTATGTATTTTTTAAAAATGTGAACATATGGGCATAGCAATGCACAAAATGAAAAGGCAGTCAGTCAGACAGGACTCACCATAATTAAATGCAAGAAAACACAAGTTGAATGATAAGGCTCAAATATATGTGATTTAAGGTTCAAGAGGGCCCACTAGAATGGCTATAACAAAAAATACAGATAAGTATTGGCAAGGAACCCTCATACATGGCCGGTAGGGATATAAAATGGTATAGGCACTTTGGAAAGCAGTTTGCAAGTTCCTCAGAAGATTAAACACAGAGTTACCATCTAATCCAGCAATTCCACTCCTTAGTGTATACCCAAGAGAAATGAAAACATACATCCACAAAAAAATGTACACACAAATATTCATAGCACCATTAGTCATAACAGCTTAAAAAGTGTAAACAATAGAAATATCCACCAAATGATGGATATAAGGGATTATTACTCAACTAGAGGCCGGATGCAGGAAATTCGTATAAGGGTAGGCCTTCGCAGCCCCGGCTGCCTCCCGGCCCTGCCCCACCCCCGCCTGCACCCACCTTGGCCTTGTGCTGCCCGCATCCACAGCCACACAACCCCGGTTCCCCAGTTCCACAAAGGCCCAAGATTGATCACCCTGCAGAGGGTGGCCTGGGCCTCCCTCTGCGGGGTGATTGCAAAGCCCCCCAATTCATCCCCCCCGATTGATCCCCCCGCTGTCCAGTGGCCTGGGCCTCCCTCTGCGGGGTGATGGTGGGGCGATGGCAGGCCCCATGACCAATTGCATCACACCCGCCTTGGCTGGCCTGGAGCCAGTGTGTGTCATAGCGTGGTCGTCCAGAAGATCGTCTGGGCAGTCGTTCTGCTGTTTGGTCGTTAGGTCGCTTTGCACATTACACTTTTATTATTATAGATAATCAAAAGAAATGAAGTACTGATTCATGCTGCAATATGATCGGAACCTCAAAAATACCAGTCTAAGTAAAAGAAACCAGTCACAAAAGACTGCATAAGGTAAGATTCCTTTTATAAGAAATGTCCAGAATACGCAACTATATAAAGATAGAAAATAGATTACTGAATGCCTAGGGCTGGAGATATTAGAAGGAATGAGGTGTGAAGGCCAAAGAGCATAAGGTTCATTTTTGGTACACTGAAAACGTTTTTTAAATCTTTATTGAGAGTATAACAGATGGCCCCATCCCCATCCCCCCCCCCCCCCCCCCCGTGCTCCCCTCCACCCAGTTCCTGCTCCACCCCAGACCTTCAATACCCTATTATCTGCATTCTTCCTTCTAGGATTCATCAGTCTGTTCCATGTTTCCATGCCTCTGGTTCTATTTTATTCATCAGGTGTGGTGTTTTTTTTTTTGTTAATTAGATTACTTGTTCATTAAATTTTATTTTTAGATTCAATTGTTGATATGTATTTATTGCCATTTTATTGTTCATATTTTTTTATCTTTTTTTCCCCTTCCTCTTCTTAAAGAATACCCTTCAACAGTTTATCTAATACAGGTTTGGTGGTGATGAACTCCTTTAACTTTTTCTTTATCTGACCTTCAATTCTAAATAATAGCTTTGGTGTGTAGAGTAATCTTGGTTGCAGGTCCTGGCTATTTACCACTTTGAATATTTCTTGCCACTCCCTCTGGCCCGCATAGTTTCTGTTGAGAAATCAGCTGAGTCCTAGGGCATTCCCTTGTAAGTAACTGTTTTTCTCTTGCTGCTTTTAAGATTCTCTCTTTGTCTTTAACACTTGGCATTTTAATTATGATGTGTCTTGGTGTGGGCCTCTTTAGGTTCCTCTTGTTTGGAACTCTCTGGACTTCCTGCACTTGTAAGTCTATTTTTTTCACCAGGTAAGGGAAGTTTTTATCATTATTTCTTCAATTAGGTTTTCCATTGCTTGCTCTCTCTCTCTCTCTCTCTCTCTCTCTCTCTCTCTCTCTCTCCTCCTTTTAGCACCCACATAATGCAAATATTGGTACTCCAGAAGTTGTCCCAGAGGCTCCTTACACTCTCTTCATATTTTTGGATTTTTTTTTTTTTTTTTTTTTTTGCTCTCCTGATTGGGTGTTTTTCGGCTTCCTCATATTTCAAATCACTAATGTGATTATCAGCATCCTCTATTCTACTGTTGACTCCCCGTAAATGATTCTTTCAGTTAGTGTACACTTAATTTTGACTGGTCCCTTTTCATGTCTTTGACATTCTAAGAAGCTGAAAGTAAGAGACTTAGTGAAGTCCCTTACAGCTCTCATTAAGATCCTTGAGTAACTTTATACCATTGTTTTGAACTCTATATCCAGTAGTTAGCTTACTTCCACTTCATTAAATTCTTTTTATGGAGATTTCTTCACTTCTTTCATTTGTGACATGTTTCTTTGTCTCTGTATTTTGGCTGCTTCCCTGTGTTTGTTTCTATGTATTAGGCAGAGCTGTTATGTCTCTGGAACTGGTAGAGTGGCCTTGTATAGTAGGTGTCCTGTAGGGCCCAGTGGCTCAGCCTCCTAGTCACCTGAGCTGAGCACTCTAGGTGCACCCCTGTGTGGGCTATGTGCACAGGCTTGTTATAGTTGAGTCTTGATTGCTATTGGTGTCACTGGCAGGAATTGACCCCTACGCCAATTTGTTAGTGAGGACCTGCTGTGACTACAGTGGAAGAGCTGCTGTGCAAGAGACACCTATGGAGCAGAACTTGCTTCAGTGAGGCTTTGGTGCTGAGTCTGCCCCTTGAGTGTGTCACTTGTGGATGTGTAGAGTTGTAATCTGTTATGGTCTGAAGCTGTCCACCAGGTGCACTGATTCGGGGGCCTCCCTGGAGGTGCAAAGTCAACCACTGCCTGGGGCCACCGGGCAGGAGCTACAGAGTAATCTTCAGATGGCTTCTATTTGTGTTCACTTGGAATACGCAGGTGAGGCCAAGCTGTGAAGCAAGGCAGGCTGGTGCTAGTGCCAGGTCCTGGATCTCTTATTGAGAGGTATGGGGCACACTGAGGCCAATTGCTTGTTTTAGAGATTTTAGGAATGTCTGAAGCCTGAGCCAGGACAAGCCATTTATATGGAGAAGCCACTGCAAATGGCTTGGGTGGGGCTGCAAATTAGATGGGGAAGGGTCTCAGGAAATCACCAGGGTGAAGTGAACGGTGTGAACCATGCTGATAGAAACTTCAAATATGGCTGCCAGTCAGCTCTGCGACTGGGGAGGTCCCAGCACAGGAACAATGATCCCTGCAAGCACCCCCATCTGGGAGAAAGCTACCCCTGAGTTCTTGCCCTGATGCCAGATGATCCAGTTCATCCCCATATGTCCCTGGTTCCCCCAATGCCACCACCCACCATTGGAGCTCAGAGGGAGCGGGATCGTGTAAGTTCGTGCACCAGGCCTTTAAGAGAAACTGCCTGGGACTCCAGCAGCCTCCTTGTCACTCAGCCACAATCCCCACTAGCTTTTATAGCCCAAAGTTATGGGGACCCTCGGGATAGGGGTCTGGTGTGGGACTGTGATCCCTTGCTTCTCCCGGGAGGCCTTGGCAGCAGTGATATCCCTCCCAATTAAAAAAAAAAAAAAATGCACATGGGTGTCAGATCAGCCCGTTCTGTGCCTCCACTCCTCCTGCCAGTCTCAATGTGCTTTCTTCTTTAACTCTCTAGATGTAGGACTTCCATTCAGCCAGATTTCAGGTGGTTCTGTTGTTCTGTATTTTACTTGTGATCTTAATGTGGTTGTGGGAGACGGCAAGTACTTGCGTTTACCTACACCAACATCTTGGGTCCCTGAAAATGTTTTAAAATTGATTGTGGTGCCCTAGCCAGTGTGGCTTAGTGGATAGAACGTGAGCCTGGGGACTAAAGAGTCCTAGGTTTGAATCCAGTCAAGGGAACATGCCTGGGTTGTG